TCTCAAACATCTAACAGGCTCAGAGCTAAACCTGAAGCTTTGTCGTAATAATGCCAGACCTTCCAATGTCAATTATCCGAGCTCGAAGACTCATACTTTTTCACATCTTTTCGGAGAGCCGGTTAGACAGGAAGTCGAGGTCTAATTTTACAGAGATTGGGCGAAAAGGGTGAGGAGGTATGCGCTAGTACATTGCAGCGACCACTCGTCTCTGATTGAATCTTTGCAGTGGTGCAGGCCACGATTTTACATTATATATGCATGTGTACGCATTCTATCAACTACCTTTGCGACTTCATGTACCCTTTCATAGAGCATTTGAAGATTCAAATCCAGCTTGCACCTGCGCGACAGATGTTTGAAGCGAGGCTTCACTGTCATCCATCCCAGGAGAAAGAAACCCGTCAAATCTCAACTACTTGTCTACTAGGACAATTACGAGAGTGTGCCTACCGATACTTGGGGGAAATGCTAGACGAGAGTAAGGATTTGATTCATAGCGGCTTGCATTTTGGTCCGACGTTTCCTCCGTCACTGCCTAGCATATATAAAACTTCTCGCCGACGCTTTCACGAGGTTTGATTAAATCCTGAGCGTCCGAAAACTGTGTACCTGTGGACGTCTTAGTATGTTTCTATTCCTCCTGTTTTACTTCGAATCTTTCTCATGCAGGCTACCCATCTAGCCTATTGCTTTGCCCGACAGTTGAACTGTACGACCGAAAATTGGCACCTTTCTCATTCCAAAACTAGATCCAACACAGCCTGACATTCTCCCTGTGAGATCATTTACTCTCTGCCCTCGAAATTTGTGAGGACACAGAGGTCAAGCAGTAAATGCTAAAAAAAAAACCTACTGGATGTCGGTGGCATTTTTCTCCGAAGCGATGCCATCCAGGCAAAGGACCAATTTCGTCTTGCATCCCGTCAAGGTCTGAAAATCATTGCACGCTCCCTTGGCTTCGATGAAGGAGTGAGTACTCGTATTCTCGTGAAAGGAACACAGCGCTCTACTGACTGGTCAGGATTGGGAGGCCAATATTCGCAGCGTCCTCAAAACAGAAGCAGTATTCGCATATTAGAGCTGCGGATGCAAACAAGAGGTGAATGTAGACGGAGAGGACGATGTTCAGCTTCATCGATTTAGTTAGGATCCGGGGTGGTCAGTCTCGAAGCAACGTCTTATATGTCTGATTTTGTACTAAGAACCATCATATAATCGCAAAAAGTCATGCCGAGTGATATGCACGCGTGGGTGCCGACATTGACATCTCTCCATAAGCAGAGGCTTGTGGGTGTGAGACGCCAGTAGGCACCCGAAGAGAAATGCGAATAATCATTGGATAGCTATTGCAGCCAATGCAGCATTCCAAGCCAAGTTGTCATGCTAGAAAGAAGCTGGGTTGAGGATAATAAATGGCGATGGCTATCCACAACTTGTGAGAAGACTGCTGGATTCACAGCTATGCCGCGTACTCATTGCATTTTTTTACATGTACTAAAGATCTGGAGCCTTAAAATCATCATTACTATTTGCGCCCAGAGACTTGTCATCGGACGAAACAGGATGGGACTTACCCTTTCAATTACGCCGCCGGGCAATTCTATAACGACCAGATAGTTGTCTTCAAAACACGCTTTGTATCATATGGATGCATCAAACCTTTCTTTTGCGGCAGTCAGAGGCAATCTCACCGCGACTCGACCATGTCCACAAAAAGTACACGGTATAGTTTGGGTAGGGTTGAGCCCAATGTTCTCAGGCCTACCCGGCTCGTAGTTTTTATTTTTTAGTAGCCACCGGCGCTTCAGAAAACCCCGGCGAACAGTGTCGACACGCCGACATCAAAAATAGTAAGAAGTGACAAACATCGCATGAAGAAAATAAATATTGAGATCCGTAGATCTACCACTCCGGGAAAGCGTGTCATCCTTGTGCAGGGGCCATGCTAATCTTCTCTGTATCGTTCCAATTTTTTCGTATGTCACCCCGAAGGGGACAGTTATAGGTATGATTGATATAAGGTAAGTCTAACGGTTTTGTATTTCTGTTGACTGGCTGGAGCACAGCCACTAACCCGATTGCCATATATGGAGCCAGCGCCGACTGACATGCAAGAAATCCAGATAGATAAACAAAAGGTAAGAAGCCAGGTCCATTTATGATAAAACTGAACAGTATAGTGATGCACTGGAATGTTGAATAGAAAACTTTCACATAGCATCAATATGCTTCTTGTCCTTGCCGTTATAGAAGAGCCACTGCTCCATTTGCTGGTTATTTCGCACGCGCATAGCACCCAAAGTTATTAAGTAGTGCAAAACGAGATTAAACAAGTGATAATACCCATGGAAAATGCAGTCGATAATGCAGGTATCAGAGCCGACTCCGTAACTCCTTCTTCGCCAGATCACGCAGCTGCCGTCGAAGAATCTTCCCCGCAGCACTAAGCAGTATCCATATCAACGGATGTATCATACAACCATTATATACTCACCTCTTAGGTATAACATCGATTGTCAGGACGCCTACGATGAACGTTACCCATGATAAACAAGGTTGAAGGTTTTGGAAACGTACCTCCCCGCAAATACTTATGCTTGGCTACTTTGGACTCCATCCATTTAGCTATCTGCACTCCAAACTCAAACCTTTGTGCGTCTGTCTTCAGTTTTTCGGGATGCGTGGGTACGACATATGCTCTGGCATGGCTATTTAGTAGAATATGCGGGGAAAGAGTTAAGGAGTTACCTAGGTAGCTCGGTGGCTTGTGCGGCATCTTCAATACCAATCACAGCTACATCAGCCACTCCCGAATGACTGAGAAGTATACTTTCTAGCTCTGCCGGAGGAACTGAGAGAAATACGATAAATTTAGGTGGTGCACACAATTTTCCATGCAAACTTACCTTGAAATCCCTGGTTATATCGTGGAAGTCAGTCCGGCTACGAGACTACGGAATGAAACCAGATCTCACCTTATACTTAATCAATTCCTTCACCCTATCCACGATGAAGAAATATCCCTCATCATCCCTCATAGCAATGTCACCCGTCTTTAACCATCCGTCCTTCGTGATGGTGTTCGCGGTCGCGGCCGGATTGTTGATATATCCTTTCATCACCGTAGGCCCTTTGATCCACATCTCTCCCGTCTGAGCATCATGCCCATCTTCGTCAACAATTCTGGATTGCAAGTTAGGTAGGAGCAAGCCTATGCTCCCTGCCTTTCGTGCCGCATCGGCCACAGGTAGCAAATGTGTTACGGGTGAAAGTTCAGTCATACCGAAACCTTGGATAACCGACCCATTCACGTTGAGTGACGGAAGTCGAGCCGTGACCTGCATATGGGTTCAATGAAAAAGGCCAAAGTAGGTCTCTTTCACCACCCACCTGGTTCGTCAATTCAGGGCCCAACGGAGCTGCTCCAGATGTCAACAACTTCAACGACGAAAGGTCGAATTTCTCCACTACTGTAGATATGATGGGTGAGACCCCTGCAATTTTGAGGTAATGAGACGGTCTTACATGGATGTCGGGATAGAAACACTGCTATGGGTGGAACAAGCATAACAATTTGAATCTTATATTTTTGAATGTCTTCGCAAAATTTGAGTGGGTCAAAGCGCTCTTGAATGACACTCGTATGTCCGAGTTTTTGTGTGAGAAAGAGAATGATGACGGCGCCATAGATGTGATACATTGGTAGGAAACCGAGATGCTTGTCCCCGGAGCCATGAGCCCACACTGCGGCCAGCATGTCGATCTCCGAAGTAAGGTTTTGATGTGTAGTCTGAGAAAGGAGTTAGTCCACGACATATTTACTGAATCAACAGGTCTTTTGCAAAGACGAATGCGAGACAGAGAGCGATCAAGTGTGAGCTTGACGATAGCTACGACGTAGAGATATGAAAATGTCTCTGCTTACCTCAACACCCTAGCGGATCTTTATTATGTGATGAGAGATGCATATCAAGGGACAAGGCGCACCTTCGGTTTACCGGTTGTTCCCTGTTCCATCATTGAGACTGAACTGAATACCGTAATGGAAGGTCGGCGCTTACTGAGCTATAACACAACAGGGCAGTCTCATGCGCACGTTCCCCATCGAATTTCTCCTCCTCTACCAACGAGCCGACTCCGAGCAAATCTTCCATGAGCAGCAAAGACGTGCGGGGAGCATCTGGACCACCCGCCCACTTTAGGCCCTTCCCAAGAATGATAATCCTCGCAGTGGCTTCATCAGCTCCCACACCGATTTCCTCGAACATCGTGCGCACAACAGGCAGGCAGTCTTCGGGCGTAAATATCAGCCGTGCCCGGCTGTCCGTGTACTGATGTGCAAGCTCATGGCTAGTGTAAGCATTATTGGCCAGGGTGCACCTCAGACCGGCGGAGATTGCTGCAGCAGCCTTCAGTTGTGATAAGCATTATCTACGCGTGGAGGACGCACCACCGAGAAGGACGACAGGATAAGCAAGCGCATTCGGTGAGAACAAGAGAACCGTATCCCCCCGTTTCGTACCGTGATGTCGAAGACCGTATCCAAGAGAAAGACACAGAGAGCGCAGTTTCCCTCGAGTCAAAACAGTCCCAGTAGCAGAGTCGATGAAGACGGGTATATCAGCAGGGTGCCCACCGACGAGTTTACTATCCTTGCTCTTATGCAGAAGGTGGGTGAAAAGGGAGCGATTGACGATGGGAACATCAGGAGAGGGGGAGCTGTAGAAAGACATTCTGTGTGCCTACGAAAACTTTTCGGTGCCGACCCTTATAGCTCAGAAGCATCATGTCTGATATTTAAATGCCCTGATCCGTGGCCGGACCGGAAGTCAATTGAATAACCGAATACGATACCCACCAAATTAAAAAAACGCATGGTACTTGCAGTGGCATCTTTAAATCAGAACTACGATTCCGTGCTTCTACAGTGCAGTTTCGAACTCGCTGAAACGGAAGGAAGTAAAAAGGAACAAGCTTCAATTTCAATTGGATAAAAACGACACCAGCAGGATTTGAACCTGCGCTCACAAAGTGAAACAGATTAGATTATTAATTCGAATCTGTCGCCGTAACCACTTGGCTATAGTGCCACAATTTTTTACCTAGAAGAAAATATATCCACTAAAAAAGACTTTCCTTGAACAAGAGCTTGTTCTCCCGTTTTTACTTTTTGCCCCGATCCTTCACCATGCCACGCAAAGAAACAAACACCGGGTCCATCACCGCTAAAGCCCAACAGGACGCCGTTTCTGACGGTATCGAGAACTTTGAATTGCCTAAGAGTTTGATAACCAAAATTGCGCGGTCGGCGGTTTGTCTGGTCACCCACTTTCACTTATCTCTTCGCTCAGAGAATTTCTTCTCGATAGATTCCCGAAAATGCAAAGCTTCAAAAGGAAACTATTTTGTCGCTTGTGAAAGGGTCGACGGTATTCATCAACTATCTCGGTACGTTAGCCTGACACGGTACAACGACGCGTCCTGACTGGGACTTGCATTCGTAGCTGCTACGCAAGTACACTAATTCTCACGCGTTTTCTCGTATCTCATCTTTTGTAGTGCTCATGACGTTGCTCTATCGAAGCAACACAAGAGTATTAGCGCAACAGACGTTCTCCGTGCCCTCGAAGTAATGGAGCTGGGAGATTTAGTACAGAATCTTCAGGAGGAACTGCAAGGTATGCTTCTATCGTGTCATGTCACCCTCATCGTTCTCATAATGCTGAAATCTTAGTATATCGTGAGCTCAGCAAAACTGACAAGACCAAGCGGGCTACATCCTCTGCCGCTCCGGTTCTCCGCACTACACCAGGCACCAAGCTAGTGGGGTCCGTCTCTGCTCCTGCGCCAACCATGCCTACTATCAAAATCAAAGGCAAGGAGAAATCTTCTACGCCATTCACGTCTACACCGTTAGGACCTCCCCCTTTCGAATCAATATCGACGGGACCCATAGCTATGGACGTAGACCAAGAGGCGGTAGAAGAGGAGGAAGAGGAAATAGCCGAAGAAGAAGAAATCATAGAGGAAGAAGAGCAGGAGGAAGAAGAGCTGCAAGATACCGTCGCGCTCGAGGAGGAGGAGCTCAGAAAGGATGCAAAGGGGTTGGATGATACTGTTGCTGCTCATCATCCTGAGGTGCCGCAAGGCGACGGCAAGGTGATAGAGTGATGACAAATCTCATTTCTCAAATCTATCTTATTTGTTTGTAAGTTCTCGTCCTGTAACATTATTTGATTTTAGACTCTTGAGCTAGCTCTGTCCAGCGTAACGGCCTCAGACGCTGTGCCCCGTTACTCCACCAGCGCACTTTGTCAAGTATCTCCGCAGCCTATTTTATTGACAGTCGCCGCAATTAATTCCATGAAACGGCACTGGAATGCTTCAAATTATTCTTCCAGAAGGCATTCGTGCTGTTGTCAACTTGTTGAATGCCCCAACGGTTCAAATCTCCGACAGGCTAACTAAATAGTCGGGAGTGCACCGGCCCCGGTCACTAGCCATTGGATCAACTGTTCTCAAACTTGTTTCGTGACGACTGTTCCTCAAGTCAGTTCCTACAGGACCGCTTCTATCACATGGGTGTAGCAGAACACCACGCCTCCAAGACATTGCACTCATAAGTATCACAGCAAGACATTACCTAGACGCAAAACACTTGTGTCCAAACTGGTCGAATCTTGCTCCTCACTTTATCCTCGTGTTCATAGTAAAGTTTACAAACAGGTACTGTGTCTTGCTGGCGAGTACCGTTTGACGATGGTGATTCCGACTCAGATACTAGCGCTCATCTCTTTTGTAGATTTATATACTTGATTGGTGCTGAATTGGAAGACCTTGACAGTGAACGTGGAAAGATGGTAGCCCGCATAGCAGAACGCAAATGCCTTCTCTCTTCAGTCCGTCGCCTACCCCCAGAGATCTTGTTCAAAATATTTCTCAGTACGATCATCTTCCCTATTCCGCGAACGCGATCCCAAAGAGATACACACTGGTGGAATTTTTGCCCTAGTGAGAGCGCGTTGTGGTCAATTGAGCTCGTATGCAAAACATGGCCCGGCGCCGTCCTTGACTTCTCCGAGCTTTGGTCGAGCATTAATATATCCCTCAGTGACGACAATTTTTCGCCTCATAACTTTCGCTACGTCCGGAAACTAGCGCGCTAGGTTGCACAAACGCGATGTCATTCATTATCAACCTTGATATGCTCAGGATCTTGCCATGGACGTTGACGTCTTCCAGGTCTTTGCCGCCTCGGCTTTCCACGCTCTTGTTCTCCATGCAAAATCGAATACAATCTCTCTATCTCTATCTACCCACTGCGATGTTCACTTCTGTGACAACTCTACAACTTTGCCTGCCTATCCTCCGACAACTTACTCTACTCTCCACGAATGGCGAATTGGAGACACGCCACTCTTAAATGCTCTTGATACCGTGGATATAGGAGACGTCGTCTTTACTCTCGATTTACCCTACCATCAGATCACTCATTATTCCACTGACCACGTCCTCCACTCTCATCGAAATCCCGGACTTTCGACTTTTAATATCCTCCGGCTTTTGTCAGAGGCGGAAATTTTAGAAGCTTGTGATTTGAGATGTGAAGCTGAAGCATCGTCGGAGGCATTCGAGGTTGAAGACCTTTCACGATCTTTTTTAAAGCTTCAAACATTGACCTTAAGCTCGTGGGCATACACATACCATCCCAGTTCTGTTATTGCTAGGCTTCTTAATGTCCTCACATTGCTTCGCTTGTCTAGTCTCGGAGTGCACTGTTGTGTAGATGAGGGACAAGTGTGCGATACTGTGCAGACCTTTACAGCTGTTCGGGGGGGGGGAGGGGCAATATGTCGATCGCAGTCGCCTCTGACTGCATTTCACTTCACCCACGGTAATATAAACGAAAAGGATCTTCTCCGCATCTTTCGCAGTGCCTCATCCACCCTCCAAGAAGTTGAGCTCCTTGACGTGGATCCTACGGCCTTGACAGACGACATCCCTACCCCTCTAGTGATAGTGGACGCGGATAACGTGCTCCTACCAAGGCTGCATACCCTGCATATCAGTAGCGAAATGCAGTTTCATGTCCATCTTTTCGTGAAAATGGTGGAGTCGCGTTGGACGTGCAAAATCCTTTCTGTCCAGCGTCTTCGAACGATCAGACTCTGTCGATTATTGAATATCGAAGATGACAAAGAAGTGGAGGAACTCGGACGCACATTAGCCTTGTCTAAGCTGGAGGAATATCGTACTGAAGGATTGGAATTATCCTACAGCATTCTCTAAGTCTGTGACCGGCAGATAAGCTTAGACATTGCAGCATGCATCACTCATCCATTCGAGCGGCTCCCTCCGTCTCACATGCGTGTAATACTCCTCTGTTGGCTGCTCAAAGAATATATGTATCTTGTCGAGCGCTATCGCATAGCTTTGGCGGTTTGAACCGGTTGTTGCCAGTGCCCATGCCACATGGTCGTTGGCCAGTAACCCGACGTAAATACAAAACTTCTAAAGCGACCTTCCAATGAAACCATGCACTATTGTCCCCTTCGGGGTGACATACGAAAAAATTGGAACGATACAGAGAAGATTAGCATGGCCCCTGCACAAGGATGACACGCTTTCCCGGAGTGGTAGATCTACGGATCTCAATATTTATTTTCTTCATCTCACCTGTCACTTTGTCTGAAAATTACCACCGTTAAAGTGGACCCATCTCCGGGTACCCATCGACCGCACGAGACGCACTCTGCGTCTCACCAAATATTATTTATATAAATATGTTTGAGCTTGGTATTCTCCGTTTCTCTCTTTCCGACCACTATGCTGGCCTTTCGCTTAGACTTGTTGTCAACCGACGCGATTTATGGCTCATATCATATCATCAATACGAATATCTGAAACTTCAAAATTTCATTAATTACTCCCAATATTGCTTCGAGAATCGATATGTTCTTCCTCTCCTGCTCATACATTTTTCTGCTCTTCGTCATGATATCCTCTGCATGAAAGCACGGAAGCCCAAAGGGAAATGTTTACCTTCAAGCTCTCCCGAACGTCGTCATTCCACGCATGACCGCTCACAGTCAATCAAAACGGGAAGGGCCAGCGAAGACAACGCTCTCTGACTGCTCTAGTCGAGGAGGTGAAGGCTGGAGCTATCGAAATGCGTAATCCTAGAGACGATCTCTTGGACATACTACCATTGTATTAGTTTCGTGGTTTCATGGACCCGAGCACCCGCTTCGCTCTTTGACTTGTTTACCTGTTTAGTTGTACCAAACCTCAAGTCCAGCATTGGGCTGACAGTGACGCTCCAGACGTATTGTCGACAGATGAAGGTAAGGAGAGGGCTTAATTATCCATGGCAAAGGAGTGTGCGACACATACGAAAACGAAGGTGGGGATGATTTTGTGGTCTATCCTGCAGACTACATCATGATAACTTGGCAGAGAACTTAGGTCTCTTAACAAACTCAACGAGATTGATGAGTGCTCGCTTCGCAAGTGACTTGACTCTCCATTTTCCTAGAAAGCAAAAATCAATGGAAACCCCACTCTAAGCCTGTAAAGACTCACCTTTTCGAATAGGCTCTGTCGCCGGCAGAAGCTCCTCTGAGTCGAACGGCGACGAATCAAGTTCATGCGAGTCCGAAGGATGAGATCCTAGGTCTTCCGTAGATGTTCCAGAAGCCGCTGACATTATACTATACACCATTGAGAAGTTGTCCGGAAGAGGCGTGTGGTCAACCGGCGGAGCCTCTGGCGGCTCGAAAAGTATCGATCCATACCGTGCAAGCTGATACTCCTGCACGATTCTGAAAACAAAAGTAAGATCAGGAGAATAATCGCAGCAATTGGAGATGGTCGCTTACTCTTGAAAGAGATTCAGGTCTCCGTGTAGCCGCGACGGATCAGATATCTCAGGAACGTTTGACAAGACGTGGTCGATACGCAAAACAGGCACGAAGATGTCATCTTCCTCAGGATTATCGGAGCCTGTTATCTTAGCCATAAACGTCCTGCAGGTGTGACTATCGGTCTCCGACGCGTCGTCCGGAACATCTATGTCTGGGGCGTCTTGCTG